CTGGGAGAGACAGAAGAAACCATTCATGTCACTGATAACATTCATTAAAAAAAAAAAAAACGTTTCACCAATTAAGTTTACTCCCTGTCCCCCATGTGGGACGGTTTTTTTCGTTTTATATTTAGTTATTTTGATGGCCTGCCTTGGTTGTTGCCGGGGGCCCTAATATAAACCAGGATAAAAACGCCAATCAGTCTGTTAAACACCCCCCCCCCCCCACCCCCACCGAGGCAACGTTTCAACTATAAACAGTTTAGAAACGCACAAATGAACGCAGGCGTATATACAAGCTCGCGCCACCCCCCCCCCCCCCCCCCCCCCACAAATCATTTTGGCAACATTGAACCAATTCTGGTAAATGTGGGGTCATTTGTGTGTGTGTCTGTGTGTGTGCGCGCGCGTGCGTGTGTGGTTGGTTAAGACCATGCCACTACAAGCTGCTGAAATGTATGACTAGAACAGTTTAGTTTGGTAATCCCATAGCACTGCCCACTACTGCTGCGAGAAGTATACCCAACAAGTGTATTTTGTTGAGCCCATGTCACTTCACATTGTTGCTGCGAGAAGTATACCCAACAAGTGTATTTTGTTGAGCCCATGTTGGTGCTGCAACGTCCTGCAAAGGACACGAAAATAACTTATTGTTCCGACAGTTCTAATTTCTTTATTTCTGACATGATCTCTTTTGGTTTTGTTTGCAGCCCCTCACTTTGCCACATGACCAGGCAGTTGCCATTAACTTTTGTGTGTATGAATTTGGAAGCTGTCGTAATGCTGTTGTTAGTTTTTGCTTGTCAACGCGAACATTTTAGGCTCAAATCCGCAAAAAGGAGGATATGTTTATGTACCACTTTGTTCTGGCAACTTTTCCTTCACAAATGTGATGTACCTCTTTGTTCTGGCAAATTTTCATTTACAAATGTGATGTATCTCTTTGTTCTGGCAAATTTTCCTTCACAAATAAGACGCATCTCGTTGTTCTGGCAACATTTCCTTTACAAGTGTGATGTATCTCTTTGTTCTGGCAAATTTTCCTTGATAAATGTGATGTATCTCGTTGTTCTGGCAACATTTCCTTTACAAATGTGATGTATCTCGTTGTTCTGGCAAACTTTTCCTTTACAAATGTGATGTATCTCGTTGTTCTGGCAAACTTTTCCTTCACAAATGTGATGTATCTCGTTGTTCTGGCAAGCTTTTCCTTTACAAATGTGATATATCACGTTGTTCTGTCAAACTTTTTCTTCACAGGTATGATGTATCTCGTTGTTCTAACAACTTTTCTTTTACAAATGTGATGTATCTCGTTGTTCTGACAACTTTTCTTTTACAAATGTGATGTATCTCGTTGTTCTGGCAAATATTCTTTTACAAATGTGATGTATCTCATTGTTAAACGACTAGGATTATGTCTAGGTTGGTAACTTTTCCTTTACAGATGTGAGGCATTTAATTGTTAAAAAGTTAGAATTAGATCCGGGCTGGTAACTTTTTTCTTACATGTGTGAGGTATCTTACTGTTAAGAGGCTGAATAAGATCAGGACTGGTAACTTTTCCTTTACAAGTTTGATGAATCTCGTTATTAAGAGGCTAGAATAAGATCAGGACTGGTAAACTTTCCTTTACAAGTTTGATGAATCTCGTTATTAAGAGGCTAGAATAAGATCAGGACTGATAACTTTTCCTTTACAAGTTTGATGAATCTCGTTATTAAGAGGCTAGAATAAGATCAGGACTGGTAACTTTTCCTTTACAAGTTTGATGAATCTCGTTATTAAGAGGCTAGAGCTAAATCAGGGCTTGTAACTTTTCCTAGCTGTTAACAGACTAGAATTTGGTCGGGGCTGGTAACTTTTTCTAATAAAATGTGATGTATCTCATTGTTAACAGGCTAGGATTAGGTCGGCGTTGGTAGGTGGAGGGGGGGAAAGGAGAGGAATAAGAAGAACAAGAACAATAAGAACAAGAAGGAGAGCAAGAAGAAGAAGAAGGAGGAGGAGGAGGAGGAGGAAGGAGGAGGAGGAGGAGGAGGAGGAGGAGAAGAAGGAAGAAGGAGAAGGAGAAGGAAGAAGAAGAGAAGAAGAAGAAGAAGAAGAAGAAAGAAGAAGAAAAGAAGAAGAAGAAGAAGAAGAAGAAGAAGAAGAAGGAAGAAGAAGAAGAAGAAAAGAGAAGAAGAAGAAGAAGAAGAAGAAGAAGAAAGAAGAAGAAGAAGAAGAAGAAGAAGAAGAAGAAGAAGAAGAAGAAGAAGAAGAAGAAGAAGAAGAAGAAGGCACAGATTGTTAAATACTCACGGGGCGCGACCTTATGAAGGTACTTGTTACTCTCAAGAAATAAATTTCTTCTTCTTCTTCTTTTCTTATGTTTCTTCTTTTTCTTATTCTTATTCTTATGTTTCTTCTTCTTCTTCTTCTTCTTCTTCTTCTTTTTCCTTTCTTCGTCTTCTTCCTACTCCTCTTCTACTACTGCTTTTACAGTATGTGGAAAGTCTTGGTCGGTTTCGTCTGTGTCTGAACTTTAGTCTTGCTCCAGCTGTGATAACACAGCCCAGATCACACAAAACTCTTTCATCTTCTTTAAAGCGTTCATCGGCTGTAAACTGCGGTGGAAAGTTCTGGTTGTTCGTCCACTTCACGACTTCGGTCTTGTTGGAGAAAATGAATACTTGATGTTTTTGTTCTACAGATGTGGCTTATTTGTATGAAGACTTGATTCACTGACAATTTTTTTTTGCGGGACGGTGCAAGGGCTTAAACCTTCACTAAGTGCACAATAATAAGTAGTAATAATAATAATAATAATTATTATTATTAATAATACTCTGTATGTGCTGAATGACAAATAAATATAATATAAAACATACGAAAGGTACAAACAAATAAATTATACTTCCTTATAAAAACGTCCTTTCCCCTCCCCCACCCCCGAAATGCGACGCCCCTGCATCACTCAGGCCCGCAGGCTGTACCCAGTGTTTGTGCGCCACTTTGTCCGTATGCACCTCATCAACATTCCTGTCGCGTCTTTTTAACCAGAAGAAGCAACAAACAACAAGAAGGAACAAGCTTCAAAGCGAAGGCGAACACGGCGTCCATGCCAAAGATATTGCACAGCTAGAAAAATTTGCGCTAGAAGCATTATTGTCGCACATACTTCCAGCAACTACAGTGGAACCTCGCTTAACGAGCATAATTCGTTTCAGAATCATACTCTTTAAGCGAAACACTCGTTATGCGAAACAACTTTTCTCATATAAATTAATGTAAAATACGATAATGCGTTCCACGTCGAAAACAAATACTCACAGAATGCTATGTATAACGTTTATTCAAAGAAACTTATATACATATTGTTAAGGAGAGTGAATCATCTTCATCTTTTCTTCAAACGAGAACGAACCCACCTGGAATGCGAATTCGATTTGCAGAAAAAGAATAAACAATGAGAGACATTTGTTTTTGCTGACGCTTCAAAATTTGGCGAAAATGCGACACAGCATTATCATTAAATAAATCTGCAACGCGCATAGCGACTTCCTTATTAGGGTGATGCTTCTCAATGTAAGATGCAACAGTTTGCCATGCTTTCAGCATTTATCTTATTTCGCCAGAAGATTGTTGCTTTTCTGTTACCTCCTCCTCCTCCTCTGACAAACTTTCCTCCAAAACTTCTTGCTGTGAAACACAGTGCAACTCCCTAAGCTTTTGGGTGGTCATCTCTTGGCTGTGCTCTTCCGCAAGCTCTTCGATATCACTGTTATCCACCTAAAATCCCATGACAGTAGACATAGACACAATCTCGTTGACTACAGGTTCCACACGTACGTCTCGAACCCCTCAAAGTCACAAATCGACAACACACTCCGGCCAAAGCTTCCTCCAAGATGAAGTTAGGGTTCTCTTGGTAACCTCTTCCCCGCTTTGTCGATCATCTTGAGGCAGGCAATGATGTGGAAGTGATTTTTCCAGAAACTCTTTGAGAGTGAGGTTGGTCCCTTCAGTCACCTGAAAACAATGCTCGAAGAGTGCTTTAGTGTAGAGCTTCTTAAAGTTAGAAATAACTTGCTGGTCCATTGGCTGGAGTAACGGAGTGGTGTTGGGAGGCAGAAACTGGATCTTGATGAACTTAAATTTTCAGAGAGGTCATCTTGTAGGCCTGGATCATTCATGTACATATATCACAATGTAACACAAGCTTGAGAAAATGTGTGATCACAAGCCACACTACGATGCTACTGGAACGAGTGCTAAACACCGACTAATGTAACATGCGCACAATTCGGGACTTCCCCTCTCCTCGCCACTCGTTATGCGAAACGTCGCTCATTAAGCAGGTCATTTTTTTTACAATTTGTTTTGCTCGTTATGAGAGGTGCTCGTTAAGCGAGGTTCTACTGTATATCATTCCCGATGACCTCCTCTTCTTCTTCATCATCTCTTTTATTCCCCACTGCAGCATAGTCCCGAATTCAACATTTCAAGTCGCCCTATCCTTTGCTATATAAAACACACAGCTGAACCCATTTCCTTCACATCTTTTTTACTTCGTTCTCTATTTCCCTTCCCCATGTGTGTCTGTGCGCGCGCGCGCGCGTGTGATGTCCGCCTGTATACTTTTAACACTGCGAGTTCCAGTGCAAAGACATACTAGTTAAATCGCTAGTATTTCCCCCACCTCTTGATTCCTTGTAATTTGTCTTGTTCTCTCGCAAAGCTCTACATTAGTGATTCAATCATTCGAATATCAAAATATCAAGTTGTAGGCCAAATGGCATCAATTTTGAAATGCAAGTATGCGAATGAGGATACTAAAAAAACACTGTTCAATATAAATGTTATTACCAACGCTATGCTATCAATGTCAAACACGGACAACAGTGTCTTCAAAAGACAAGGAAAAAAGTCACGAGAGAAATGAAATGTTTACGTATTATGCTAGGGATAACGAGGCAACGTATGGTATCAGAGGGAGAGTCGGCACAGAACCAATAATGAACTTTTAA